ATGAATGTTGTAAAATGGGTTGGTCCTATAAGAGTTGCAGATATTTACTGTTTGCCAATACAAATCGCAGTGTTGAAATTACTATGGGATGAGAATGTACCAACTGGATGTATAATGACTGATATGGAAACTGGTGAGATTTTGAAGAGTGTGTGTGTGTGTGTGTGTCAACAATCAGGATACAGAGGTTGGACAGAAACCTGCGTTTATAGTTGAGGTTTTTGATGACACGGTAGAGGATGATGATTGTTACGTGGTTGATGAATTTGAAGGGGATCAGTTACGTGAGTCAGATGGTGTGGATAGCAGAGGAGAAAATGTAGTAGACAATGTGATGTAGTGGAGGCACAAGTAGGTGCAAATGATCAGCTGGTAGAGCAAATATGGGAGATGTCAACCTCTGATATACGGTGTTCAGTTGAAAATGAAGCAGGAGTAAAAGTTGCAAATGATCAATCGGCTGGATTTGCTGAACCATCAACAATTGGAAGTGCAACCGTTGATCAATCTCCGCATTTGAGGGTGCATCAGGAGTGGATGATCATGGAAACATACAGTCTAAGGGTGCAACAGGATTGGGAGATCCTATTGACACACAGTTCGAGCATCCCACATTTGAGGATGCAACAGGATTAGAAGATCCTATAGACACACAGTTCGAGCAGCCCACGTCCGAGGGTGAAACGGGATTGGAAGATCTTAGAAATGCACCTGTTGAACCCTCTGTTGAAGAAGCCATTAATGCTCAGAATACCGGCACTGGGTCTTCTAGTGGTGAATCAGAGGTGAAAGAAGAGGATAATGATATTAGCCTGGAACATTTCTCCGATTTTGAATACGAACAGGAGGATATGGAAGAGGACGACCAAGGCGAAGACACATTTTTCAGATTGAGTGAGGGAGTAGACATCGGGCTGGGGAATTGTTCGCAAAATATTTCTTCTCGATTTTAAAACCCACCGCAAGTGTACGGTTCGTTAACAAGTAGTAAAATGGACTATGAGTCCAAGTATCGTTCCCACGAGAATTGAATTAGCTCTAATTAAACTAATGTGAC